TGAGAATCGAGAACAATTAATTCTAATACATTTTGTATTAAGTAATAATAATATAATATAATTAATTTGTTGTAAGTTGTAAGTTGTAACTTGATTAATTTGAGAAATGCGACATATAAAAAAATGTAACTTTTATTGATTTGAAATATGAACTACAAATCTACAAGTTCACAAATTACAATAGAGAATTGAGGATAAAATAATAAATTGTAAAATACTAATCAATCGGAATCCCCGGCATAGGTAGAACCACCCTCGGTTGATTCATCCATAAAGTCTTGGGAGGGGGTGAGGCTAAGTTCTTGAGTTCTACGTCTTGTCTTCAACCAATCGTGGTAGCATATAAGCATCTCAAGAGATTCGGCACTCAAACACGTTCTCGATTTAGTTAGGACGTTGCCGGCCGAACTAAATTCTTGTTCCACGGCAACTGTTGAAACCGGCATTGATAGTACTTGCTTAGCCATCCGTGCCACAATCGGAAACGTTCTTTCTTTTGACTTCCACCACTTTAGGACATCAAATTCTTCATTTTCTACAAACTCAACCTCATAGTTAGTATACAAAGCAATCTCATTAATTGTGCTTTGTTCAGTAGTGTGCGTTGTTTTAGTTTTTTTTCATAAGATTGCCAAATGCAGATTTAAAAAAACATTTTCCTTTAGATGATGATGTTTGGGTTGGGGGAGGGGGCGCGTTGCCATACTGTGCACGAAACTCATTAAATAAAAAATAAAATAAACTACTAACCTCGTTGTATTCAGATTGCGGATCTATAGGGTTATCTTCATACATTGGAAAATCACCATAAAAAGATTCATAATAGAATTTGTAACATTGTTCCAAATTACCAAGTCGATAACGAGGATCGAGAATAAATGCAATACCATAAATATGCGGAATATGTGCATAATATTTTAAAAACTTTTCCTTCATAAAAGTACAAAAATAGCTCACATAATCGGCATTTTGAAATTCATTAAAAGCACCGGCGAGATTAACAAGTTCACGAATAAATTCGCAAGAATAAATTCATTATGCAAATTCCAATCATCATCGACATAATGTCCAGTCAAACCCAAATAATGTAAATTATGATATGTGTCCTCCCATATGTCAGAACAAACAGTAACACGTCCATCATAGTTTGCAAAAAAAATTTGTAAGTTCAACTTTTCCGCCTTATAAAGCCTTATAATTTCTTTTTTAACCGTTTTTCGACTATAACTTCGAAATTGAGGATTTAAACAAGTTTGTGCATACTCTTTAAAAGAAACACTTTCAGAAAACAAATAAGGTAAATTTTCTTCAACCATAAAGTTAGCCATACCAGTCAAATTTTGTTGATCATTGTATGAGAAATTACCATAAGGTTGGTTATTTGCAAACCTCGATATTTGTGTTTGCTTCCCCTTGCCTTTCTCAATTTTTGCGTACTCCACCTTGTGCTTGCCCATAAGATGCCTTTTGAGGCTCCCGTATCCGCCCGAAGTTCCCAAACTGTACACCTTAATACCTTATCGCAATGGTTGCAACTTGCGTACCATTTCTCGGTGCTTGGGTCTTTATACTTTTTAAAATTATTTTCTATAATAGAAGATTTTGATTTCGTACCTATTTGGGATGAACCACCCTCGTCCTCCGCCTCTTGCTCCTCATCCGGGGTGCCGTGACTCCCTGCGCCCCCCGCGTCCTCCTCCGGATCGTCATCCTCGAGCTCTTCTTCGTCAATGGTGTGAATATCGTCCGGGATGTCTCGTGGATGGAAAAATTGAGGATTTTGAGCCAATAGTTGTTGTAGTTGCTCGTCGGACATTCTTTCGCCATCTCGCCATTGGTATTCCGGTTCGTCCTCCCATCGACTTTGAGAAGAAGATCCGGACTGCCCGCTTTTTTTGCGCAAACTAGGATGAGTTCTCGCAATCTCCTTCTTTCGGTTGCGTTGGAGATTTCCGATATCCAAAGAATGTCTACCGCGCTCCATCTTAACAAATATAAAAGTATATCAAATATTTTAATATGTCTTAATTTACTATGTGTACACTTTAATGAGAAATGCAACAAATTAACTAGTTTTATACTTTAATTAAAATGTCTAAATTTACTACTTCTACATTTTAATGGAAAATGCAACAAAGTAACTAGTTTTATACTTGAATTAAAATGTCTAAATTTACTACTTGTACACTTTAATGAATAATGCAACAAATTAACTAGTTTTATACTTTAATTAAAATGTCTAAATTTACTAGTTGTACACTTTAATGAGAAATGCAACAAATTAACTAGTTTTATACTTTAATTAAAATGTCTAAATTTACTAGTTGTACACTTTAATGAATAATGCAATAACTTAACTAGTCTTATACTTTAATTAAAATGTCTAAATTTACTAGGTGTACACTTTAATGAGAAATGCAACAAATTAACTAGTTTTATACTTTAATTAAAATGTCTAAATTTACTAGCTAGGTGTACACTTTAATGAGAAATGCAACAAATTAACTAGTTTTATACTTTAATTAAAATGTCTAAATTTACTACTTGTACACTTTAATGAATAATGCAATAACTTAACTAGTTTTATACTTTAATTAAAATGTCTAAATTTACTAGGTGTACACTTTAATGAGAAATGCAACAAATTAACTAGTTTTATACTTTAATTAAAATGTCTAAATTTACTACTTGTACACTTTAATGAATAATGCAATAACTTAACTAGTTTTATACTTTAATTAAAATGTCTAAATTTACTAGGTGTACACTTTAATGAGAAATGCAACAAATTAACTAGTTTTATACTTTAATTAAAATGTCTAAATTTACTACTTGTACACTTTAATGAATAATGCAATAACTTAACTAGTTTTATACTTTAATTAAAATGTCTAAATTTACTAGGTGTACACTTTAATGAGAAATGCAACAAATTAACTAGTTTTATACTTTAATTAAAATGTCTAAATTTACTACTTGTACACTTTAATGAATAATGCAACAAATTAACTACTTGAATATAACGCCATTAATGGATAAAAGAAGAGAAGAGTACCTTGGTGGATTGGCCGATTGATTGATGATGAATAGGGAGAAGATAATATATGTATGTAAAGTAGATAATTAGATATCAAATTATCTACTTTAAGAAGATAGTAAGTATATATTAACTATTAAGTAGACAATAAATATTAGTAAAGTACTATATGTATATATAAGTAGATAATAAATATATAAGTAGATATAATAAATTAATAATAAGTAGAGATTAAGTAGATAAGGAATATAAGTTATAATATATGTGTGTGTGTGTGTCAAGTAGCTAATTATAAGATAATAAATATATATTAAGTAGATAATAAATATTAGTAATGTAATATATGTATATATAAGTAGATAATAAATATATAAGTAGATATAATAATATTTAAATAAATAATATATATGTAGAGATAAATTGGAGAAGAATAGAAGATGAAGATGGAGATGAATGAAGATTTTAGAGATTGAGAGAATAGAGAATTAGAGAGTATAGAATTAGAGAGTAGGATTGTATGAAGAAGGTGTAAAAAATGTATAGAAAATAGGAGTATAAATAGATTTTTTTTTCTCCCCCCCTCCAACGGCTATAGAGCCGTTTGGAGGCTCCCAAACAGCCCCAACGGCTACAATAGCCGTTTGACAAAGACCAAGGCCAAAAAATAATTGAAAAAGATTTTTTTTTTTTAAATTAGCCGTTAGGCCCGGACCGGGCCCGACCCGGCCGGGCCGGTTCAAGAAAATAAAGGCCCGAGCCCGGACCGCCCTGCACCCGGGCCGGGTAGGCCCGAACCGCCTGAGGCCCAGTGGACCGGGTCGGGCCGGTTGCTACAGTGAGCGGGCCGGGCCGGGGCCGGTTCGGTCCGTCCGGCCCGAGTCCAGGACCTAGTCCGCGGGTAGATGGTCGAGGTCGTCAGTAGTACATGAAAGACTGAGTTGCAGCCGTGCATGGGTGGGGAGGGGGAGTGGACCATCGGTTATTGCCATTCGGCCCATCCTTGTAGAGGGAGAGGTACCTCAATCCCAACTACCACTGGGTGGACCCTTGGCCATAGTTGTCGGAGGTTTCTTCATTATCGGAGACTGTGTGTAGTTGAGAATAGTAGTAGCGATGGTCAGTTTTTCAAGAAAAAATAATTTGCAGTGTATCATGAATAGTTGAGTACCACTTGCGTCTGATAACAAATGAAGTTATTCGGGCAACAACAGTGACAGTATATTTCAGTAACAATAAGGTTACAAAGGAGTATTGATATATCTTACACGAGACGTATCTACAAATCCTAGAGGGCATTGGGCCAGCCCATACAGCTACATACAAACAATATACATTAACAGCTTTCTTACGTAACAAATTCACTCGTGAGGGAATAGTTTTTTTAACCAACAAAATCTCTCCTTCATGTGTGCCTGCATTTGCTCTGCTGCAGTAGAGCATAATACCAGTCTCAGAAGCATCCAAAAGGCTCCCATCTCATCATCTCTATTTATATCTACATTCCGACCAGGCTACATGGGTCATGTAAGTGTACCCTCATGTCCTCAACTCAAATTATTACAAATTGGTTGGGAAAGAAAGAGTTTCGTATTGCTTATATAAGGGTTTGATCTTTTACTTGTGTTCCAATGCAAATTGTTTTTCTAAGAAGCTTCAAAGACATACTGCGTAATAATTTCACTTTTGGTCCTAGAGTATTATATCAATCTCAAAGTTGATCCACGTCTTTGGAATCACCCATTTTTAGTACTTGACTATCGATTCTTGCCCACCTGTCCAAACGGGTGAAGTCCCTCATGTTGCCAAAAAATTTGGCCGGAAGAACCACTAATGAGCAAAAACAATATAATCACATACCAAAAGTGGACCGAGTCAAAGACACGGATCAAATATGGGATTGACGAAAATAATGAACACCCTAGAGTGGAATGTATTCAAAGACTGAATGACAAAACTTGTGGTTAGGGATTCTTCTACTTTATTAACAATTCATAACAAAATTGTGGGTAAGGATTCTTCTACTTTGTCAACAATGAACATGTAACTAGATGAGAAGTCTAAGATTACACTCTTGCTAAACAGAGGTCTGACAAGTGTCAAGTAATATTGCAGCATATTCAGGTTAAGATTACAGCAGAAGGCATTCTACCCAGTAAGGCAGATGCTTCTGATCCCGCTAGGACGATCGCAGCATATATTCAGGTTTGAAACCGCATCATCCTAATCATTTTTATGCACACCAGCCTCCTCCTCCTTTTCAGATTCCTGCATGTATGGTGAGCAGATCTTGTCAAGGTGCAGAAAGTTATGCTAATGTTTTCAAGCAAATTCAAATCATTTCATTTCAATTGATAAACAATTGTGCTAATATTTTGCAAGCAACTTAAATAATACTGTTTCAACTAATAAAATTCACTGTACAACTATGAGCCCAACAGATCAATAAATACATATGCAGGATAAACACATAACCAACAAACAAAACCTCTATAAAATGAAAGAACCTATCACTCAGTGGTATTAAAAACAACCAAAATGTATACATTGTCGGTGTAAGTGTGGCTTAAATAAATAAAAAACATAGAGGTAATGACATATATCAAACTCATTCATGCATCTCACAAGTAAACTGTTTCATACCTTTGTGGCTCCATCACACCCTTCCAGGCTTCCACCAGCCTATCCAGCAACCGTAGCTGCATCCACTGCTATCTCTTAATTCTTTCCCTTCCTTAGATTAATTGGATATTATCTAGTCCTTTCTTATCCACCATTCCTTGTTTAATTGAGCTAACTTTTGCATTTACTCCTAAGCATGTACTCCTAAACTTTGTACCTATATATGTGGGAGATCTTTGTACTCAAAGCATGATATCTATTAATAACAATTTTTCTTCTCAACACACAGCATGAGAATTTCAAAAAAAAAATACATGAGAAGAAACAACGCCCAAACAGAACATCTAAGCAAATACTATAGCACAAGACTCCAGCATGTAGCCCTAGATGGCTAGATCTACTAGAAAAAAGACATTTAACCTAGAATCATGTACAGCACACTGAGTAAGTGAAAGAACAAAATGGTAGACGTAACTAACCACTAAAAATGGAGATCTGCTATCAGTGTTATCTTGTGGGTTGTCACTGTTAAGGGACTTGTTTTGAGGGGATACTTCCCCATTACTACCATACACAATGTCCATAATAAATTCTTGGAGATTGAAGTCGTCTCTAAGACAGTCGTCAATGCTACCCTGCAATATAATAATACGACACAAAGAAATATGATCTCACAGAAAACCTATAACCACTTATGGAACATTGAACTATAAAATGTTCACCACAACCAGTAGCAATGTGACAAAAGTACATAACCAACCTCAAGCAGTGAAGATCCACCATCATTAGATTCTAAGTTTTCATTAATTATGTGTTCACCACCACCATCACCTCTATTGTTAGAGACAGGCTCTGCATTATCATTATGCTGCCACATGATAAGACTTGTATCAAACACATGAATGGTTGTAAAGCAAAATAATATATCACCTGAACACTTAGCAAGTTTTTAACAAAAATGCCCATCATATACATATGTAAAGCCTAGGAATTTGAAATCTAACTGGTTATTTGGCACCTTCAGATTATTTAGCTATTGGTAATAGACTATAAAGTAAAGCAATTACCTGACCCTCAACAGGGCTATCGGAAGAAAGACCTAGTTTATTTTCTAGTTGTGATGAAGCAATACTAGGTGGCAAACGATTGATGTCCCATCCTAGAATCTTACAAACTGACTGCCCAAATGCACGATGAGCCTGCCTACGCTTGGTCTTGGTTACAGAAATAGAATGTTGGACTAAAGCCAGACCGTCCTTGTACTTCTTCACACTTCTCTTCCCGGCCGCAAAACACACTAGGCAGCTGAATTCCCCACCCGCATAGTTCTTCTCGTAGTATTCCCTCAAAGCACCATCATTCTCAAACAATTTCACAAAAAAATCTAAGCTTCCGCGCACTTCTCCCTTTGCTGTATTATCAATGTCTCCTTCCTGAACATCATCTATGTATTCATCCTCTGCTTCTTCGTCATCAGAGCTGTCTTCATTGCAGAGGAAATCACAAACAGCCTTCAACGCAGCTTTTTGTGCCTGATTGGAGGCCAATTGGGCCTGCTCTTCGGTTGTTAACGAGCGGCGCTCAGAACTTGACGGGACCAATAGCTTGGGCCAACCAGCATCAGTTTCCGGCGGCTTATCTGTTTTGAGCTTGCAGGGCCATTCAATGCCGGAATCTGAAGATTCAGTCTCGAATTTGCCGCGTCTCGCTGGAGGTGGGTTCCCCCTTCTCTTGAATTGGGTAGGATTTATGGGTCGAAGGGAAGTCTGGTACGCGATAGGGTTTTGGGGTCTTGGTGGGCCTTGATGCCAGAGAGAGTGGAGGTAGATCACTTCTTCCCTGAGACGGTCTTCTTGGTATGGATCCATTGAAGCTCGAAACAGCACCTCTAAGACGAGTTCAGAGGAAAACGGCGATGGAGAAGAAATCACCAGCTCATGGAATAGAAACTACTGTGCACAATTAGCTTCACATTTTCATTTTCCATTCTCCAGAAAATTGTATCCTTCGGCCCGTCGCACCAAAAAAATGTTTCTTTCGAAACCTTCTTATGTTTTTAGGAGGTTATATTTTGGACACTTTTGAGTCTTAGATTGGACCAGACAAGATCAAAACAAATCAGATCAGATTAAATCTGTAATTATAAAATATGCAACAATTAAACATTTACTAGATTAGATCAAATCAGACCAGATCAGGTCAAACCAATCTATTATACTTCCATATCATCAAATAGACTTTCATTATTAAAATCCCATCTCAGATGCAAAAAGTGTAGATATGTTTAGTAATATTCGACCAGGTCAGAATTAAATAGTTATAAAATACACAAAATCATTCATCTAACATACCAGACCAAAACACATCAGACCAGACTAGATGTTGTTGTCCCACACCGGATATTTCTTAAACAATCAAACACTATATTGATCTGGATTACTCCTCCTAATAGGTTGACATTTTAGGATGAAACTCGAAATATCAATATGATATCAAAGCTAAATCGATCTATGGTGTGTACCCTATGAAAAATGATGACACAATTTAAAAATGACAACGATGAACCGATAAAAAATGAATGGCGTCCCGATCCAGACAAAGTGTCTGGTCACGAGGAGGTCGGGGATGTTGTCGTCCCACACCGAACCTCATAAACAATTAAACATTATATCAAGATCTGGAGGCTACATACTCCTCCTATTAGGTTGACTTCTTAGGATGAAACTTCAGATATTAATACTATACAAATTCAATTCAACTAAAAATATCCCAAATACATCATTGAAAAACTAAATAAACAATTTACTAGACCTAAATAGTTTACCTTGTCTATGGAACACGTCGCTAGCATGATGAAAGTACTAGAGGAAAACCTATACCGTACACACGGTTGTACAATGCTCATCATACAACCGTGTATTTTATGTCACACATATTATTTATCACATCATAAAAAATGAGCATTGGTATTAAATCACTGTATTGATAACACAAATGATAATTAGAATCGTGCAATTAAGTATCACATGATTTACACGTAATAATATGCTACAAATCAACTTATTCACTAAACTATATTATCATATATAATTTAAACACTGTTTATGTACTAATTTTATAATTTAATACCACCGTTCTAAAACTCGCTAGGCGCTAGTCGAGCGGTTGAAGGGCGCTTAGCGCCTAGGCATCCGACTAGGCCGATTTTTTGGGCGCCTAGACCAATTTTTTGGCCGACTAGGCCGATTAGTGCTCTACGGTTACGGCCGACTAGGCCGATTAATCGGTCCGACTAGGCCGATTTTTAGAACAATGTTTAATACTAATACTCATTTCATTTTAACTATATACTCATTAAGTATATGTTAAAATATCCGGATATAACATGTGCATGGTAAAACTGGTTGTACCATATAATTTACAGCATTAGAGGTTGCGGGAGGATAAAAGGCTTCATTGGAAAATATAGGAATTCACATTGTCTAGTGGTATAAAAATCATTTAACGGAAGAGATGATGTTTTGACTGAGTATGAATACATGTCAATGTGAAAAGTAGAGTACAAACTTTTAACATGAATGTAGAATCTCTTATACCTACAATGTAATAACACAGATATATGGTACAAATCTTTTTTCACAAATATAATGTTTTTAGACATAACTCTTTTCTCTAAATAGACTATCCAACAGACTCAGGGATTAAAAAAAAAAGGTCATCGCCTGCCTTTCGCTTTGCTCGAGATCTCCGAACCTTGAGTCCTTATTTCGAAATTTCGTAGTATAGAAAGAGAAATAGATTCGTCTTGCTTATTGGCTTGATCATTGAATTGAGTGGGTGGTAAATGCTTTTGACTAAACCTCCCGCTGCTCTATCTCCGATAGCACGTAGCCGATAATGAAGACAGATGTTTTCTTTTGGACTGAAATTTGTCGGTATGGTCTGGTCTAAACACGTCTGGTCTGAACTAGTCTGGTCTGATCTGGTTTGGTAAACGTCTGGTCTCTGTGTATTTTATAACCACGGAAGTTTGGTCCGACCTGATCTGGTCTGGTCTGATCTGGTCGGGTTTGGTCTGGTCTGGGACTGAAAATAGCCCAAAAGAAAACATCCCAAATTCATATTTTTGCCACATCAATATAATTGACTCCAAGCATTATATTGGAGATGCTTTTATAGACCCTTTTATAGACCCTTTTTAAATACTCCATACGACTTAGGAAGTTTTTACTTTGCTGGCCTGATCCGATCCGAATTGAAAAAAGGAAAAAATGTCCAATATAGAACCAAAACTCAATCCTTTTCCAAAATAGGATCACATGCATGTTTTTTCCCCAAATTGGACCAACCTTCCCTTTGTTACCCCTAATTCATTTAATTAATTAATTGATATAAATAATTGCCCCCTAGTTTCCTTGCACAACCAAGGCAGTCCGTCGGTGGCGGCAGAACTCCGGCAGTCGGTCGGCGGCAGATTCCGATGGCGGTGGCGAACTCCGACAAGTAATTAACCCAATTAATTGCCCCCCACAGTAAGCTCCGACCTTCTCCTTCTCCTTCTTCTCCGTGGTGGCGGCAGCAGATTCTGGCGGCGGCAGAAATACTGGAAAAATTCAGAAAAAAATCTTGAAATTTTTCCGGCGGTGGTCGCCAGAGCTCCGACGGCGGTAGCAGGCAACAATACATGGGCAGTAGTGGGGGTATTTTAGTCCAATTACTAATAAAAAGTCCTATTTAAGGATGTTTAAACTAATTGCTTCTATTTTGGAAAAAGCCATGTTTTGGTCATATTAAGGTAAATCTCTCTTGAAAAAATCTATTACCACCCATATACAAGCCATGTTTAAAAGTTCCCTACACTTTCCCTTTTTATTGTTGACTTTTTTATTTGGTATTAATTTTGGTGATTTATTAAGAAAAGTAGTGATAAATTTCTCAAAAGAGGAGTAAAAAGTTTGAAATTACAAATTAGGGTTGTCATATTTTTATTTTCAAAATAGCGGTGATTAGCGTCAAATTTGGAAAATACTGTTATGTTTTAAATTTGGTATTACCAACAGTAATTAGTTCTATTTTGAATATAAAAACATGATTATTCTATTTTAGAAGACACGCTTTTAGTTTAGGGCTAATTTCTCATTTTTTTGCTTTCTTTTAGAGTCAATTCTCTAAATAGTACTAAAAAGTGGCAAAATTGCACAAACAGGACTACATTTTTAAATTCCCTCAATAAGACTATTTATGTGTGTTTGGACAAATATACCTTTGTAACTTGTGAAATGTTTTAATTAATAATAAAATCATAAAAAATAATAAAAATCGAAAAAAAACTAAAACTCGTAAAAAAATAGAAAATTAATAAAATATTTTTTAAAAAAATTATTATTTTTTTTTAAAAATTAAAAAAAAAATAAAAAAATCGTAAAATTAAAAAAAAAACATTACCACCCCCCGCCACCCCCAACACCACCAGCTTCCATCACCGGAGAAAAATATGCCAACATTTTAAATAATGCCATAATGATGACATAGTCAATGAAAATGTTGGCATATTGAAGAGTAATTATGCATCTTTTTGGCATTTTCAGAAAAAGATGACAGATTTTTACCAAAAGTGGAAGAAATTTCACCAATCGGAGGTGGTGGTGCTGGGAGGCGGCGGGAAAGATATCCATAATTTTTTTCATTTTTTATGGGTCTTTGGTATTTTTTATTATTTTTTTAAAAAATTTAAAAAAAATAAAATTAAATTTTTTATTTTATAAATGTTTTATAAATTTTTTATAATTTTTTTACGTTTTTTAAATATTTTTTATGTTTTTTTATGATTTTATTATGAATTAAAGCATTTCATTATGAATTAATACGCTTAGAGGTATTTAGGGTAGAAAATCAATGTTTAGTCTTACTTAGGGAATTTAAAAAAGTAATAGTCTTATTTGTGCTTTTTAGAAACTCATTAGTCCTATTTAAAACAATTTCAGTTTCTTTTATGTTGGGTTTCCTTTTTTTTGAAATATTATGTTGGGTTTCCTAATTTACTTATTTAGACGAGATAGACCACAGAATCTACCTCGTTTCATTTCTGTAATGGAGTACTAGTGTACTTAGGGGTGGTTCGGTACGGTATACCTTATACTTTTTCTCATACCTTTGCCGTACCAAAACTTTCGGTATGCAAAATTTGCATACCTTTACCTTACCGAAGTTTCGGTATACCGCATTTCGGTATACCGAAGTTTCGGTTCGGTAACGGTACGGTATCGGTAAATTACCATGCATGTCTCCCAATACAAAAAAATTATCATAGACTAACGAAATATACTAAATCGTTATTCCTAACGACATATTAAATCTATTATTAAAATGTTACGAAATACAATTAATAATCTATTGATGTCAATTCAATATTGAACAATAATAATAATTATTATTATTATATTTAAGCAGTTCAACATGCCACATATTAAAAAGTAACACATTCTCCTAAAATAACTTGAACAATATAGATTTAATTAAATCAATAGTGATCTCTAACAAAAATAAATAAAACTATTCAAACAACATAGATATAAAATTATTTATTGCTAATATGATATTGTGTATTTAGTCATTTTTATAATTTTTTAAAAATTGAATAAGACTTTCAGACAAAGTTGTATGTCTCGACTCGCGGAATCCCTATGTAGATACACTTGTCACATAAATATATCTCTCTTCCCTCGTCAGCTACTTAACGGCCCAGCCATCACGGCTTGCAAGCTCTTAGAACAAGATGGACTTTTTTCTTGACATTTGTACATTACTCATTAATCATTAAGGTTAGCGTAGTAGAAGCCAGGTTATAGTGGGTTTGAGAAATTGGGCCTTTATTTTTGTATTTTTGTATTTGTAACCAACTTAAGAATTAATTTTAGGCTTCAAAATTGTAATGGATTTCTACAATATATTAAAATTAAAAGTAATTGTTGAGTAGGGAGTCGGTACAGTATTATACCGGTATACCGCGGTATTTGAAAACATTTACCGTTACCGTACCGAAATAGATCGGTACGGTATGATATCGTACCGAAAATGACGGTATACCAATATTTCGGTATTTTCCGGTATTTTTCGGTACAGTAAGTGCGGTATACCGATATTTCGGTATTTTTGCCCACCCCTAAGTGTACTACTTTGGAACATGCAAGGTATTACTGCTCCACCACAGTGCCGCCTATACCTCCGTTTAATTGGCGGGAAACCCCATTTCTCTCGGCACTCTAATAATCTCCGTCGGTCACTAGCTTTGTTAGAGCAGAAAGGCCCTTCGATCCTATCCTCTTCCAAATTTCGTCTGAACCCTAGTTCTCCGCCTCTACTGCACTCAGTTTCCTCAATGGCTCCGCATACGAAAATCCTGGCAGCGTATGCTAAGTCCGGGAGGGCGTCCTGCAAGAAATGCTCGAATGCGATCGAAGCGAGCTCTCTCCGCCTGGCACTTGTAACTAAAGACCCGCGAGGGTACGACATAACCAAGTGGCATCATTTCGAATGCTTTACAGTGAGCCCCGACCTTCTTCCCTCAGCGGAACTCATCTCTGGATTCTCATCTCTTAAGGTATATTTTTGTACTTCAATGAGTAAGTGGAATTAGAGTGTAGCGTTTGTATATGCATTAGTAGACAATGTTTCACGGCTGTTGTCCGTTTTATCATTATATTTCAAGATTTATCAATTGAAACAGAACTTATCCGCCATTCCTCATTGTTTTTCTTTTTCTTTTTTTGCACAGGACAGTGATAAAGAGAGGTTAAAGAAATTGATCAGTGAAGCATTGGAGGATAAAGAGGAGGTATGTTTTAAACATTGCTGTTAGCATTTTATCGGTCCCCCCTATTCCATTCCAATTTCCAAGAGAAACAATGTTTGTTGTTTACGGGTTGCTTGATATAGAGAAGGCAAAGAAAACTCACTGTCTTCCAGAAAAAAAGAATTAGAACTGTCATGCCTCGTCATTTGATGGTATTTTTAAATCAACCATCCCACTCACTGGAGGGGTCTAAGGCTTGAACAGGGTCTCATGGCCCCCCAACTCTGCCCGTTTCATTCTTATAATTTCTTATTTTCAAGTTCAGTTAATACCTTTTCACCTTTCAAGGGGATTCGAAACATGATGAATTCAACACAGTATTTTGGCTATTTTCAATTCTTCTTATTGGCTGATTGAATTTCATTTTCATTTTAGTTTGAGAATTGGATTCCCTTGAAGTCGCTATAAATTGTACAAGAACCAATTGCAGAGTTAAACCTTTATATAATCTCCATAGAACAATTCTTTAAAATTTGAGGTTTCATCTGAAGCAGAAAGTTTAGACAAGAAAAGCAGAACAATAATGGGCACACAGGTGAATACCAGTAATAGGCTACTAGCTTGTCTGCTGTTACATCTGGGATAAACAGTCACATCTTTCTGTGGAAATACATGCATTCATATACATATGCCAGTGTTTTTTTGTTGGTTTTTTGTATTACAGTAGCTTAGTATTGATCTTAAACCTTACAGGTTTCTGACAAAGATGAGAGTGAAAAGAATAAGAAGGAAAAGAGAAAGATTGCAGATGTGAGTATAAATTCTAGCTTTTAGGTTATTGCAGCTGAATAACACTGGATTGTATCCAGGTTGTATTTAATTTCTTCTTCCCACTAGATTCAGGAAACTGATGTAGAGGAAAACACTGAGCCAGAAGAAGACAAGATAAAAAAGGCAAAGGTAGATGTCCACACTTTTTGCCTTCTCTAGTGAAGGTTGTATTTGATTCTTGGATTTTGGATTGCTTGTAATATCTGCTTCTCAAATGGTTCATAAAACTGATGGAAAGGAATGTACCCACTCAGAAGAAGTTATGACAAAATAGGCTAAAGTAGATGAGACATTGAGACATCACCTTTCCACTTGCTTCAGTTTTGTTTTGAGTGAACACATTGTTGAGTTTGAATTTGAGTTCTCTAACATGTCGAGGCAACTGATAATTTAAAGTTAGGAGGCGATCTTTTTAATGTGGCGTGAAATATGAAACATAAATAATTTCTTAGAATGTTGCTCAAAAGGTTCTCTTAATCTCATCTTCTTATTTTAAAATCCTTGCACATGTATCGCGGTATTATTGTGTTCAAAGTTGTATCCTGAATTACTCCAATGACCGATCACTGATCAAATTGCAATGGTCCATGTTCTCAAGCATTTTATGTGCTATTTAACAAATTTTGAGTTCCAGAGGATTTGAAGTGTATTCTGACTTGATTCCGATACTGCTTAGTCACATGTCTCTTTCAAGGGGCTAGAGCTGCAGATAGCGTTCTCTATTACTGATGTGAAGGGTCATTGCAAGCTATTATTTCTCTATAATGTCATTGTCAATGATCATGCTCCCTAGTCCAAGTTCCAACACACTGGAGAGGTCTAATGCTTGAATAGGGTTTCATGGTTCCTAATTTTTCCCTTTACATTCCTATAGTTTCTATTTTCGTGGGCAGTTAGTAGTTTATCACATTCAGTTTCATTTTAGTTTGAGAATTGGGTTCCTTGAAGTCTCTATGAATAGTACAATAATAATTTGCATAGTTAAACCTCCATATGATCTCCTTAGAACTTAAAACAAATATTCAACATTTTAGGCTTCATTCAAAACAGAAAGTGTAGACAAAAAATTAGAAAAATAATGGGTAAACAGGTGATTGCAAATATTAACTCTCTCCTGCTTACATCTAGGATAAATTCATAAAACAGTCATGTATTGGTATTGAAAAATACCTTACGTTGAAATACAGATGGCTGTGTGTGTGATTTGTTGATGTGTTATACTTCGTATTAGCATAGCTTGGTCTTGACTCCTGATCTTTAACCTTACAGGTTTCTGACAATGAAGAAAGTGCAAAGAATCAGAGGGGAAAGAGAAAGCTTGCTGATGTGAGTGTAAATTCTTGATTTTAGCTTATTGAAGCTGAATTATCATTTGATTCCATTTGGGTTGTATAAATTTTCTGCTTGCCAATAGGTTCAGGAAACTGATGGAAAAGAGGACACTGACGCTGAAGAAGATAGGATAAAAAGGAAAAAGGTAGATATCTATAGTTTTCACCTTCTCTATAGAAGGTTGTAGATTCAGTTGTATCTTGATTTTGGATTGCTTTAATATCTGCTTGCCATTTGGTTCAATGAAACTGATATAAAAGAATGCACCGAGTCAGAAGAAGATAAGATAAAAAAAAGGAAAAGGTGAATCATAAACATCATATTTTCCTCCTACTTTACTTGTGTTTTGAGTCATGTTTGGATTTGAACTCTCTAAAATGTTGAGGCTACTAAAAATGAAAAGTGGAAAGGGACATTTAACGTGGCATGCAATATGTAGCACAAAGAACTTTTTTTGAATGTTTCCTGAAAGGTTCTAATAATCTCATCTACTCATTTTCACCACCGTGGTATTAAGTTGTGCAAAATTGTATCTTCAAGTATTCCAATGATCAATCATAGATCAAATTTCAATGGTCCATGTTACTGGGCATTTTATGTGCTTTTTTGACACTAATTCAATTGAAGAGAATTTGAAGTGTATTTCTCACTTGATTCCAAATTTATTTAGTCATCTGTCTCTGTCAAAGAACTAGAGCTGGAGATGGCGTTCTCTATTACTGATGTGAAGAGTCATTATAAGGTATGCTTTCTCTACAATGTGATGGTCAATGAATGTATCCTCCAGTTCCCCATAATTTGTATCCTCATTGTACTGTAAAACAGGATTACTTTAAAGTTCTAGTTCTCCCTTTGTCCCTAAATTAGCATCCGGGCTCCCTATTTTGTCAATTTTAAAGTTACATTACCATTTCCTTTTAAGGAAAAAATGTGTGATTTTTATCTTCTCTCTCCATTCAAAATAACTCTTAACCACACAATTTCACTTTCTTACAAGTATGCCAAAAGCAAGCTGGAATCTAATTTGGCGACGGCCGGAGTATCTATTTTACTCAATCCGCACTTATTTTAAAGCTCTTTATACCCCTCACCCTATGTGTAAAGCAACATGATTTACTTTTCTTTGAAGCGGTGTTTTTACTAATAAATTCTCCTATCAGGGTGCCAAACTATTACCTAAGTGGAAGGCATTTCAGACAGCAATATATCTTGAACGGGTGCGTGTTCAATTGATTTTATCTGTATATACAGTGGCCCACCAAATGTAGAGATACAGTATAACTGTATAAAGCTAATTTGCGCTTATAAATTATAGGCTTAGAACTAAGCACATGTCACTTAATGTGTTGACAATTAGTGCATTGCAGCACACTCCTTGACATATGAATATCATAAAATTTGAGTTTAAAGGAAATCTACTTTTACTTTATCTATTTTTTTTTGCTACAGTGTATTGGGTGTGAACCCAATCCACAACCCTATAAAGTGGTTTATGTACCACCAGGCTAAGGACTTGCTTTCTTTGGCTGAAAAGTGTGACATGATCTAAACCTTTCTCGTCTGATATGGACGATATGGTCTGAGTTTTTTTCATCCGATATTCTAATTTCCTTGAGCCACAAGGACACTTCATTGGCGCGGGTCACCATGTTGTGTGAGTGTGTGACTGAGAGGTCACAAGTTCAAGTCTTGAGAGTTGAGTGCAGTCTCTTGTCAAAATGGTCAGGGAAGGCTTGCCCCCCTATACACACCCTTGAGGTCTCTTTCTTGAATCCTCACCTTGCAGGGGCCAATGTGCACCAGGCTGCCTTTTATTTCTAATTTCCTTTCCTAAAATATAACATCAGGAATATTCTGATTGAATACTTATGGTGTGGATGTTTGTGTTTTGGTCTGATTTGATTGTTTCCGTTCTGTTTGCGGTAGTTGGGTTTGCTTAAAGCTTTGGGTTGAATCCCTTGTGTTCTCTGAAGCTATAATGAAATCCTAATTAATCGCACTATCTTCTTCTACAGGATGAGGGAACTATTGACTCAGAAAAGATTGCTGCATTTGATTTTGATGGTTGTCTTGCCAAGACATTCGTAAAAAGGTACTGTTTACAGGGCAACACGCCACCTTCACCTCTAGTATTCTATGTTCAATTATTTATACAACTATATTAGCAAATCCTCCTTTTAGTCATAAGAGAACCTGATTAGTGGTTGAGGAATTCAATTATTGCATTATAGCTTTTAACCGTTCCCTTTTATATGTAGAATTGGTGCAGAGGCTTGGTCTCTTATGTATCCTTCAATACCAGAGAAACTTCAGAGCTTGTACAATGATGGCTATAAGCTGGTTAGTGTTTTTATTTCATACTGTAGTAACTATACTAAGTAGTGCCTTGTTACTTTACGTTCTAGGCGCCCGACTAGTCCCCGCCTAGGCGCTAGGCGGTGGCCAGACGCCCCGATTTTTGTCTAGGCACTCCGACTAATTGATTTGCTATCTAGGTGAATTAGTCGGCCACCTATAGCGCCTTGTTGCCCGCCTAGAGCGCCTAATCAGTCGCCTAGGCCGTCTAGATTCGCCGAACATTACTTACTTTTTAATTTAAATTTTCCAAGCGATATACGTACTTTAACTTTAGCCATAGATATAAAGAAATGAAGTTGTAAATTAAGATAAAATTATATATGTTTGTATATATACCTAAATTTTATCATTATTTTTCTTTATAACATAATGAAGTTAAGTGATTAGTTATCATATACTACGTACTACGTATGATTAAATGTGATAATTCTATCTTTGATGTTTGTTAATGTATATGTATATATGTTTTTTTTACACACAAAATACAATACTATTTATCATATTTATGCAAACACATATAGATAAAAATGCAATTTCTATGTCTCCGACTAGTCCCCGACTAGGCGCCCGCCTAGGCGCTAGGCGCTGGGCTAGTGTCCGACTAGCGCCTAGCGCCTTTTAGAACATTGCTTTACGTTCTGCATATTTCATGTCGAAATTGATAATAATATATTAATATGATAATATCTTTGCATTGTTATTTGGAGGCATATATGATCTCAAGCAATTACCTGATTTGCAAACTGTCTTGGTGGTTGCAAAAAAGGTAATCTTTACGAATGAATCCAATATAGACCGCTGGAAGAATAAGAGGCAGACAGCTGTGGACTCTAAAATTGGTCGACTTGAAGGCTTTATTAAACTCGTGAAGGTCCCCATTCAGGTGGTTTATGCTCACCTTTCATGAATTCACCCTATCACCATTTTGTTATTCAAGTAGCTGTCGTTGTTTGTGGGTTTTCCCGCCTCGCCCCTTCTTTAAAAGGTGCTGCTTTTAGTAACTCACTCATGTAGTCCTGTTCTCCATATATTGTGAAATGAAGGTCTTTATTGCTTGTGGCTCAAGTGCTAACACAGCGGATCCCTTTCGCAAACCAAAGATTGGGATGTGGAGTCTTCTTAAGCAGCATTTTAATTCTGGACTTCCAATTGACATGGATAAGTTAATCTCTGTTCTGTTTTGTTTGTTCGGTCTTAAGAAAATACATTGCTTTACCCCCCATGATGTCAATGATCCAACACAATTATCACTTTCATTTCTAGATCTTTTTATGTTGGCGATGCTGCTGGTAGAAAGAATGATCATAGTAGTGCAGACATTGAATTTGCCAAGGTAACCCAACATTTGATGTGCTTCAAGGAGTATAATCAGTTCATACGTCTACATTTTTTTGAACACTAACATTATCCTGATATTAACTATGTCATGATATACTAAGCTTGTTTCTTCTTGGATTGGACTGCAGGCCATTGGACTGAAGTTTTATGTTCCTGAGGAATTTTTTCCTGTCTAGAAATGTCTGAAAAAGTTGCTTTTATTTAACACGCTGAGAGCTGCTTTTATGGCAACCAGCAACTGTGATTTTCTCATTAGCATCGCATGGCACCATCCGTTGTGTCATAATCTATTGATCTTGTTTTGACAATGAGCTAATGAAGAGCTTTTTATGATGCTTTAATTGGATTGAAATTTTCTAATTTGGTCTATTTTAGTCCGTTTAAGTCTGATTTGATTTTAATTGGTCTAGTTTGGTAGATGTCTAACATATGTGTATTTTGTAATTGTCGTAGTCTGATTTAGTTTGGTCTAGACTGGTCTCTTTAAGTTTAGTCTAGTCTATTTAAGTCCGACGTGTTTTGATTTGGGATTAAAACTTGGGAAGTTTTCGCAAGTAGGCTGAATAAGGAAAAATATATCACCTTTGTCACCGTTAGTTTTTTATTTCAAAACTAGACCATTACAAAGCTTCTTTTCAATAATAGACTCTTTAGCCTTGAGAGTTGAGACCGTAACGGCATGCTTCAACGTACACTTACCCTATCACTGAGATTGAAGAACTAAAAAATACTCCGCATGAAAACTGTTTAAATCGTAAAAGTGTCATAAGAGTGTAATAACTTTATGAACATCGGAAATATTAAAAATTTTATAAATATTGAAACATTAAAACTGTTAAAATATTTCCACATGTGTACTTTTTTAAAATAATGTAAAATATTGAAACATTAAAAATATTAAGATACAAAAAAAATTAAGGATAAAATTTGAAATATTAAAACTCACTTCTTGTTTTTAAAATCAAAACATGAAAATAAAATTGTAAAAAATATTAAAAAAATGTTGAAATATTGAAAATAATTAGAAAAAAATAATAAAAATTAAAAATTTTAGCGTATTAGCGTATAAGAATAAAAAATTTAAAACTCATGCAATACATAATACTTTTCTTGAAAAAAGGGGAAAAATTGATATTGAAAAAATAATAATTAAAAAACATAAAAATTAGGGAAAGTGAACATTTGAAAATAAAAAAATAGAAAATAAGAATGTTATCAGATTTAAAAAAAAAACAAGTGTAGAAAAATGTAAAAATAGTGCAAAATATTAAAAATAAAAAATGTGATTTTTCAAAATTATCTATTGTTCAAAAAATTAAAGTACTTTGCGTTGACTATCATCATATTATTTTTTTGTTTCATATGGTTGATTTGTGTTTCTTTTTGTTGATTACTTCTCATGCCTTGTTTTTTATTGTTTATTTATGTTTCTCGTTTAATGCTGATTTTAATGAGTGCAATTTCATCATTACAGGTGTATCATAGACATACTATACATAAAGTTGCCATAGAAAATGGAAACATAAACAAACAACCAATAAGAATAAAAATCAATAGTTGAAAGCTGATCAACAAAAAGAAACATTACGCAACAAAAATAAACAAAAAGAAACACGATAAAACAAAAAGCAACAAAAACAAAAATTAAAACTGTCCAATGAATATATGCATACTTAAATTTAGTTTACACATTCATGATCAAGACTACATTGTAATATGAAAATTCTTACAAAAATACAAAAAAAAAATAGTATACAGTTACAAGTAAAGTGAAAAAGAAAACAAGTCATAGCTAGGTGGCAGGTTAGATCCCAATCTCTTTCCAGTACACACATAAAAAGAGCATTCCCAACACTCAATTGATTGACACTTCAATACATCCTTGATGTTGCCTAACTTGCTCAAATGTACCATCAATGTCAGTGACATCTAAATGAAATGAAGAAATAGAAGCCAATGTTGCAAGGCGAAAATCTGATAGCTGCAAGAGCAAAATAAGTGTGAACATCTTGCTATGTAATATTTGTACACACTTTTCAGTGTTAAATACACCACCTTTTGTTCAAACTCATCTGAGAGAAGAATATTTGGAGATTTTACATCCCTGTGAGTGATTTGGTGCTGAATTGTGTTGATTCTATCTCTCATGGAAATCAAATGACATCCAATGTTTGGTGTACCTAATTCAGAACAATGGTAATTCAAAATTATTATTAAACTTTTGTAGAGACTCTAGTTATTGTAACTACAGAAACAAGACTTTTCAAGTAATAAATACCATGGAAATTATCTTCAAGGTTTTTTCCAGTTAAAATATCATAGATCTTGGATAAAGCCTTCCCTTCCAACCTGTTTTGGAACAACCTGGAACAGCCCTAAGCCTCTGCAATTGCATATGTCCCTCCTTAAAACTCTCAAGAAGATATATTCCAACGTTTTCTTTTATTTTACTCCATTTCCTTTGCAGTTAGAGTCCTGTTTTATTCATTTCAAACATTAAAAAATAAGCAACTAACATCTAGGAAAAATCCCCCAATTCCAACGGAGAGCAAGTCAGTACGTTCCAAAATAGAACATATCAAAGGAAAGGTTAAACTAAATCATTACATTGGACAAAACAGAGACTAGAGGAGAAAAAATCACATAACCAATCAATGTTGTGCATTAAGTAGGAGAGCAATGACATTGTTACTAGAAATGACTTCACAAGAACAAAATTAGTCAAAATTAGTCAGACTCTCACCTTCCTAGCCTTGATTATGACCTCTCTAAAATTATCGTCAAAGATTAACATATCATTATATAAATGTCTTCAGTAAAGCATATAACACATAGAAAAGAGTGGTAGATCTCTCTTTGACGAATTTGTGTTGGGCAACTTAGAAGATGAGCACATAAGCTTTGAGGCAAAGTATCTCTGCACTCCTATAAGCACCATAACTAGTTTGAATTCGTTGATGTCTGAAGGATATTTTCTTCAATGTTCCCGAGTTATTTCTGTTCTGTCAAAACAGAAGTAGAAAATCACCTACTCCAGATTCTAATGTAATCTTCACAGGCAGAGTTGAAGGTCAACATCTAAAAAACAGAAGTACAAGATATATATCAAAGGAAAAGATGTCCAAACAAGAGCTAGAGAAGATTCCTTACGTGTATTCAATGTCGGAGTAATCTGGAACAATTGAATGAGGTGATTTCGTACTTTTATCCCTCCTCCGAGAAAGTTGAATCAATTGAGATCCAATCTTCTAAATTAAAAAAAGAGGTAGAACATGTATTCGATCTCATCTGTAGCAGGCCAATTGCAGACTTGCTAACGATGCCTAATTTCACACAATTCCGACCGGATAATGAATAGTTAGTCGAGGTTGGAACAAAGATGAAGCCTCTTGTGGTTCAAGTGTTAAACTATGACGCCTCTCCGAAGCTCTCTAAATCAGATATACGATGGACCTCGACACCATCCGTTTCGTACCTGGGAGCAGCTAAATCCAACTAACTTTGCTTTCTTTCAGCACCAAAGTAATAGAATCCGAATAGCTTGCAGGCGGTGGCGGCGGTGGAGAGAAGCGGCGGAGATATTGCTGAAATCGAAAGGGTAGCGTGCGTCTTCATCCTTGTTAAGGAGAGAGGAACGAGTCCCCGTGCTTCATGGAAGAAAAAGGGGCAAAGAAGGGGCAATTTTATTTTGGGGTTTCTTTAGTCTAAAGACTATCTTTGAAATAAGCATGTTTAAAGTGAAAAGAAGAAAGGTTAAAAATGAAAGAAAAAAATCACCGTGACATAAATGAAATCGAAGGAACAAAAGTGACCTTAACCGGATATTTCTACTTAAAACTTGTCCAAATAAAAACATCTTAACATAGTTATATTTGTTATGATCACCTTCTCTCCATCAAGAATAGTATGTTCTATTTTAAAGAAAAAATCACATTAATAATTTCAGTTTTTACTAATGTATGAATACTTCTAAAATAATTCATTACCAAATTGATCCCAAAATGTTTGCAATTTGTAAAACCAGTACAAAAGGAATGGAAGAAAGAGAAAAAGGTTAATAGTCATGCTGTGGTCAATTTGCAATCCCAAATAACCATTGTATATCTTTTGCAGCTTCAGCATTACTTCAATCTACCTGCAGCCTGCAGGCATGAGCCGTTACTTCAATACATATACACGTAACTACGTAAGTGTATATGTATTGAAATCGATTTTCTTTTTCAGTTACAAAAGTATTTTTTTCGGTAGTACAGAAGTAAAACTAAGAAAAAACATACATAAATTGTTGGGCAGTGTTAGGTAAGTTTTTTTTTTTTTTTGTAATGCAAGACCTGAAGATCCAAATCGTCATGGAGGGTACAACAGGGTCTCTCCCATCCAATCTTGGAAATCCGAATTTGATTTGGAATGGCTGAAAATCTAAATCCATACAATGAAATTTAGAGGCAGAAGAAATGTGTAGGAAGAAGACATGGAGCTGTGATATACGGAGTCAGTGGCGGACACACATGGGGGCTATGGGGGGCTGCTAGGTATATTTACCCCGAAATTTTTAATGTATATGTATTTATATGTATATTCTTGTACTGCCGCCCCTGCTATCGGCAAATCCTGCTTCCGCCGTTGTACGGAGTAATAAATAAAGAAAAAAAAGTAGAGGACAGTAGGAGACCGCAGTTGGTATACCGCAACTGGTGCATGGTGAGCACCATGCACCCATGGTTGTATGAAATGTAACTCGTGTGATTCGAGATGTAACTTCAAGTTAATTAAAATGTAAATTGCACTCATTCACATGTAACTTGTTGAAATGTAAACTGCTTTTATTGAAATGTAACTTGGGAGAACAAAATAGATGTAACTTGGGATATGTAACTTTAGAGTTTAGACGGTTGAAATGTAAAACGTTTTTACAGAGATGTAACTCCACACACACACACACAAACACACACACACACACACATAGGAAAAACTTCCGGTAAGGTATACCTTACCGGAGCCGCCGTGCGGCCTCCACGTTTTGAGGGCCTTCCCGCTGGAATTTTTGATGAAATTTTTTGAGCATGTTCTTCATGAAGTCTAGTACATCCATACCAAATTTCAGCAAACAATTCAATCGGGAAGACAGTCAAACGATTTTTGAAAGATAACTGCGTTTTATATGTATATAAAGGGTGCAGTTATCTTCCAAAAATCATTTGACTGCCTTCCCGATTGAATTTTTTGCTGAAATTTGGTATGGATGTACTAGACTTGATGAAGAACATGCTCAAACAATTTCATCGAAAAATTCCACCGGGAAGGCCCTCAAAACGTGGAGGCCGCACGGCG